TTCCGTGAAGAATTTCTTCCTAATGTCCAGCCTAAACTTGCCCTGTTGCAACTTGAAACCATTCCCCCTGGTTCTGTCCCTAATTACCTGTGAGAAGAGACCAGCAGCAACCTCTCTACAATGTCCTTTCAAGTAACTGTAGAGCATGATGATATTCCCCCTCAGCCTCCTCTTCGTCAAGCTGAACAGACCCAGCTCCCTCAGTCGCTCCTCATAAGGTCTGTTCTCCAGGCCCTTCACCACCTTTGTTGCCCTCCTCTGCACTCGCTCCAACACCTCAATATCTCTCCTATACTGAGGTGACCAAAACTGAACACAATACTCAAGGTGCGGCCTCACCAGTGCTGAGTACAGAGGGACAATCACCTCCCTTCTTCTGCTGGTCACAAAATTTCTAATACAAGCCAGGATGCCGTTGGCCTTCTTGGCCACATGGGCACACTGCTGGCTCATATTCAGTCGACTGTCAATTAGAACACCCAGGTCCTTTTCCGCCGTACAGCCTTCCAGCCACCCTTCCCCAAGCCTGTAGCACTGCATGGGGTTGCCGTGACCAAAATGCAGGACCCTACACTTGGCTCTATTGAACTGCATCCAGTTGGCCTGGGCCCATCAATCCAGTCTGTCCAGGTCCCTCTGTAGAGCCTTTCTACCCTCCAGCACATCGACACTCCCACCCAGCTTGGTGTCATCTGCAAACTTGCTGAGGGAATCTGCCTGTCTGTTGTCTCTGCTATGAACGTGTCTCCTTTCTTCCTCCTAGACCCTGCAGCTTGGTCAGGGAGGTTGCAAGCCCTTAAAATTTCATTTACCCTGTAAGGTCTTGTATGTCACTGACTAACGATGGCACAGAGCATGGGATGGGTTCATCAGTGTGTATTTCATAACTTCTCATTCCTAAACAGATGTGCATAGGATACTCAGGCATATTTATATATGGATTCATATTGCTATCCTGTCACCTCGTTATGTTATGCTGAACTAGGTTGTTGTAATTATTTTCAGTGTTTAACTGTAGAAGGCTTTGATAGTTACTTGTAATCAAGACATTTATCATACACAATGCAAAGGCAATAGTGAATTTAGACTTGGTTCAGGGCCAACGTCAGATGTAAAAAGTATGTTGGGCTCCTAAAAATTAGATATTCTTATTCTGCTTGAAATTGCTTGTGTAACATGCAAGGGAAACCATCAGGAGTTTATGTCGCATTATTCCAATTTACTTTTGGATATAGTCATATCTTCTGGAACCTTAATTTTTTACTTAAATCCAGTTTACTCAAGATAGTCTAAGGATACTAGAAAGCAAGATCAAGCACAATTTGAATAAACAGAATGAAGAAAGCTGAAGAAGGGTCTGTATGTCTGAAACTTGCCCAGTTTTTATATCTATCGATAGATTTAATGAATAATTTTCTGCTGCTTCCAAATCTTTCCTCTCACTGAAATCCATCTCTGGATTTAGTTTGCAGCTTGTTCGTTAGTCAAACAGATGCTTCTCAACATCGCTAACATCATACACTTCTCTGATAAGAATCTCAGAGCAACAACTCGCTAGTGATAGGGCAAAACCTAAAATACATTGACTAATTGGCTTGGCTAATGTTAAACTGGGCCTGCTACAGCTTGCTACTTACTTGATTCAGGCCAGCGTTATAAATCTCTTGCTCACATTAGCATTTTGGTAGTTTCACACCCAGCAGGAAGATTGTCTTTCATTATCGTTAGTTACTCATGTCTTAACTTCATTAATTCAGTGGAATTTGTCCAGCAGCATAAATGGGGAGAGAATTAGATCCAATGTTTTTGAGTGAGAGAGTTTCACGATGAGATTCCTTGCATTGTAGGTCTGCTCCTATCCAAACAATATGTGATACAGGTATACAATGGCCTTTAACTTCCTGAATGCTTATACAGTGTGTTTTTCATCAAACAGTTTGGATTAAACACATGAATTACACTTTCTAAAAACAGATCTCCATTATAAGCATGAACAATACCTGAGAACCTCAGGAAATCTTTTAGGTCTCAGGTTTGTAATGGAAAAATAAACATTGTACTATGCTTCCTCTCAGATAGGGTTTTTCAGTTTGTTTAACTTTAATGGGTTTTAGACTTTCCAACCATGCTTCCTCTCAGGAGAGAGCACTTGGGATTCAATCTGTCTCTGTTTTATAAGTGCTTCCTTCTGAGTCCCTATGGGTCACAGCCTCCAGCCACTTTCATCTCCAAAACAAACCCATTTTTCATGTCTTATGTTGAATGGCTTCATGGCTCTTGAACATCCTACATGTTTTAAGAATAAATATTGCAAGACTGTCTTACATATGTTTTCCAGTGGAAAACAGATTATTACATTACAGGGCATTCTGCTCAGTAACATGCTGCGTTAGTGATTTCTCTGGAGTGAGATGGCTCAACTGTTAGACCTGAAGGTGCACAATTAATTTTAAATTTAACCCATGACTAGTTGAGACACACCATCCACTTCCAGCATTGCATTATCAACCAGATGCACTTAATCTGGATATGTTAGACTTCACAAAAGGCGGTGTCGTACCCTGTCACATCATAACTCAAGACAGCCAGTTTGATCCATCTGTCCCTTTGGGAGATAACATTTCATGAAGCCATATTAAGACTGAGTAGTTGACTATAGGTTTATAAACATGCTAACAGAGAAATAGGAAATGTGTATTCAAAGTGTGCTTTTACTTGATGTAAATCAATATAGGTCCACAAACACCAGATGCAAATTTTAAAAAAAATAATAAATAATTCATTAATACAGCAGCAAAGTTCCTTAACCAACTAATCTGGAGTTTTACATCAACTAGCTAATTAGAATACGGCCATTGCTAAAGGAAGTCAAGCTTAGCGTTTTTAAAATTTTTTAGCACCTGTAGATGTATTTTGCAGTCAGCCTTACAGTGTGTGTGGCAGATAGTTTGTCACTCTTGGGGACATTGCCACTAACAGCTCTTCTTTGTGTAAAAGTCTGTCAAACTCAGTGTAATGCTAACAGCTACCCCGTCTTCAGTTATGATGACACTTTTCCAACACGTTATCCAAATGCAAAAGCAGTGCATGCTAAAGCCAGAGATGCAGGTGGACTCAAGCTTAAATGGTGACAGAAAGGGCCAAAGTTTAGATGATTCACACAGTAATTTGCAAGGAGTTTAAGGGCCCAAATGAGCGGCATGATCCAGCTGTTGCGCAGTGCTCTAAGAATACAAAGCAGCTGCAAGGATGACTGAGTTTTAATTAGAGCAGCACGAAGTAGCCAGAACATACCAGTCATCTTGGCTGAAATACTGTGTGCTGGAAAGGAGTGCTTAGTATTGTCATTTTGCACATCCGTCTGCATTTCTGATGGCACCATGATAAAGGAGAAAAGTTTCTGGCCAGCTGCAGGACATTATTTTGGTACGCAAATACCAGAATCCCAAAACTTTGCCTATCTGTTTTTTTCACTAGCGCTCCAAAACGGATTCTAGGGACAATGCCAGTCTAACACTGGTAACAAATGTTCTCCTGCTGTGTGCCCTGATCACATCTCTGCATCTTACAGTGTTCCTGATGTGCTGAAGGGATTGCGTTCCCTGAAGAAATAGCTGGTGTGATTTATAATGACTTTAGCATTTAATATTTAACTCTACTGTTTGGGTTTTTTCCACCCTTCATCATATTGCACATTAAACTGGAAACCTTTCTGAACAGTCACCAGTCAAACAAGTCTTTATATGATCAGTCACCTTGATTTCAACATTTATTGGCTGCTTATTTCAATATGTGCTCACAGCATTGGTACTTGGCATGGGAACCCTTCAGCCTCTCCGCTGCTTCACTCATTTCTTA